TCAGTGCCAAAGCGGGCCAAACCCAAAGACCGTATAACAGATGGACGTAGCTACCGTGACGTCACCCGTTGGTTTCTGCACTGAGAAAATGAAGCCAGGGTTTTGCTACTTCCTGGTTGACATCTTGGATTTTTGGAGCCAGAGGGGGGGCGGAGCCATAGGAGCAGCGATTGGTCAGACGGATTGAGAGGCGGGCCCTCTCTGCCCGCCCACATTTACTGCCTTCTGCTCGCTTCCTCTGTATCATTGCTGCTGACTGCCAGCCACGCCCCTTGCCCAGCAACATGTTGACGATTTTTTAAAAATTCAGTTTTGATTTATTTTCAGATTGGCCACCTGATCTCTGGATTTGACCATGAAAAGTAATAAGAAAAAAATCCTGAGCTGGAGGAATGTGGTATTTCGTGATCCAGGGCTTTTTGGAGCCAGCAGCTAGTGGACGTAGGTTCTGGGTTGGCTTCATTGTTCAGGGCCGGTTGCTACGTCCATCTTTTATGCCGTCTATGGCCAAACCACAAAAAATCCAAAGTTGAGTTTTATGTTTTTTGATAAGTGTTTCTGGTGTACGAGTTGGTGGCAAAGTGCTCCAACCAACTCGTAACGTCACAGTGCGACTTTGAAGTTTGACCCATTCAACAGTTTCCCTGAGGTACCCCACCAGAGGGATCAGTACAGTTCTGTCTTATCTAATCTAATAATGGTTGTGAAAATTTAGTGGCAAGCCACAGGAATCTCTGACCGTTATATCGCAGGTAGTCGCACGGGTTTGTGATTCAACATGGCGGACAACGCAACCTCAAGCCTGTGAAAACTCAATTCGTAGGTAAAATAAAAACTGAATTAACCACCAACAAGCATCTGTTTCTACCCCATGGTCCTCAAAAGTGTCACTAGTTGATGTAAACTCTTCAACGCTGTTTAGCAAGACAAACCTGGAATTAGTTCTCAGAAAGTAAAAATGTGATACGACCCGATTTGGCACTCAGTAAAAGGAAATTAAAACTTACATCAGTCATCACAAAGCAGCTGCTTCTATCTCTGGACAGTGTTGAAACATCTTTCAAGTGTATTTAATGACTGCTCCAATAACCAGGATTTATTTAGCAACACAACATTTGGACCCTTATTTTTCTCTGTAACTAGTAAACGTGGTTTGGTCAACGTTAGCACCAACCTCCTCAATAAAAACCCAACCAAAGTCCAATCCAGTTCAGTGGGTTCTTATTATCACAGTCGGTATTGTTGTGGATAGATGACAGAATAGTTTCGACAA